CTTCTAGGCTTTGTTGTCTGGTTTTAAGAGTTTTTGGCCTGTCTTGAGCTGACAATAGATTCATGTACCTGCTATTTGATCATGATACTAACTTGTTTCCAAGCTTTGAGTTTTAAAGAAATTTCCTTACCAATTGAAATTACCAGCTGAACTTGCTATTGAAAGTAGTTAGATTATTTAAGAAATTGTATGATCAAGAAAATATGGAGGGAAAAGGAATGGAAGACAACTGTAGACACCAGAGACAGTGTGAGAGGAGGGTGGGAAAGGGTAGAGGGTCAAACACAGGGGTAAATAAATATATATATAGTTTTATGTATATATGTGTGCATGTGTGTGTGTGTGTGTATGCTCTGATGATGATTAGGGGATTAATTAAAAAAATTTCAAGAGAAAAAAAATCATGAAAACTATTTTTCATGAAATTAAAATAAAAGGACATATTTGAGGTTTGCAATAAGCTATATAGTCCCAGGTGGGTGCCACTTTGTTATATGTTCATTCTACTAACTGAGATTTATGCCTAGGGTCAGACTTGTGTTCATGGATATGTATATATCAGCTGTGCTTGCTATTGGAAATATTTAGATTAAGTTCTTTAGTGAGTAAATGAAATGGGGGGAAAGGCATAGAAAGCAACCATGGATACCAGAGACAGTGTGGGAGGAGGGTGGGACAGGGCAGATGCTGAGAGATAGGCAATCAAGAATGGCAAAAATAGGGACCAGCAGTTAGCATAATGGCTATGTCACTGGACTCCCACGTAGTCAAACACGGTTCGTGTCCTGGACCTGGTGGCTTAAAACCCATGCTGGGCGCATGTGTGTGTGTGTGCCCAAGATCTCAAGAGGAGAATGGAGGAGAAGGGATTGTGGCGTGGCCATCCCCTCGGGGGGTGATTTCTCGCTTTCTGTCTCTCTGTCTCTTTCTCTCTGGTGAGTGCACGTGCCCTATAACAAAAACCTCTGGGGAAAAAAAAGAATGGCAAAAATATCATAATATACAGGAAATAGGAAATGGAAAATTGTTTTTTGACAAGAACATGTATGTTGATGCCATTGAGCCAAAATACAGTGTATTCTGGATGAGAAATCCATCTTGTTTGCTGTGATGATGTATAGTGAACGAATGTAAATAAATAAATTTAAAGGAAAAAAAAGAAATTTTAATTTTTATTAACTTCATTTGTTTTGAAATTGTTCAGGGGTAAAGTATATAGTTTTACATATTTGTGAATTTTTGAAAGCTCTTTTGATGCTTAATTTACTTATATATAGCAATAGGAATGTTGCTATATATAATTTCTGATCTTTTAAATTTTAAAGACTTGTTTTGTTCTCTATTAAGTGATCAGTCTTCAAAAATATTCCGTGTAGCTGAGAAAAAATGTGTATTTTGATGCTTTGGGTGAAATGTTCTGTAGTTGTTGAATAGTTCATTTGGTTTATGGTATAGATGAGAAAAATGTGTAATTTGATGTTTTGGGTGAAATTTTCTATAGTTGTGGATTAGTCTATTTTGTTTATGGTATCATTTATCTTCTGTGTCTGGTATTTATTTATTTATTTTTGTATGAACGATCTCTGTATAGTGGTGAAAATAGGGTGTTGAAGTGTCCTCGAATTAGTATGTCACAAGCATTCTGTGTTCATATCTAGCAGTCTTCATTTCTGATGTTGGGTTCATTAAGATTTGTGATTTTTATATCTTCTTGGTGAATCTTTTTAATACAGTATAGCCTCTGATGCTTTTTACACTTTTTTTTTTTTTTAAGTTTTTGTGATAGGGTGCAATCATTCACCAGAGTGAGAGAGAAGAAAAGTGAATAATTACCCCCTGGGGGAAGGGTGCATGGCCACACTGCAATCCCTTTTCCTCCATTCTCCCATCAGTATTTTGGGTATGCATGCACATGAAATGGTGTGATTTTCAAGTCTCCAGGTGGGGGACTCAAATTGCAGTCAGTCACTTGAGATCCAGCTTCATTAACCTTCATGCATCTCCTGGTGCTCACTCATTCACTCACTCTCCCTCCCTCTGTCTCTCTCTCTAAAATGATTATTTAAATATTATTATTATTATTGAATTTATTATAGTGCTGTACTCTCCCTGGGTGGTGTGGAGTTGACGTCAGAAAGGAAGCTGCGGGAACCAGCAGTTAGTGTAATGGCTACGTTGCTGGACTCCCACGTAGTCGACCGCGGTTCGCGTCCCGGACCCGGTGGCTTAAAACTCACGCCAGGCGTGTGTGTGTGCATGCCCAAGATCCTGAGAGAATGGAGGAGAAGGGATTGCAGCGTGACCATCCCCCCTGGGGGGTGATTTCTCGCTTTCTGTCTCTAATGTCTCTGTCCGTCTGGCGAGCGCATGCGCCAGTGAATCTCTCTCCAAAAAAAAAAAAAAAAAAAAAAAAAAAAGGCTGCCAGGTCACATATGGAACTTGAACAATGGTGGTATATGTGGCAATCCATCACCTTAATCACCACACCACTTGCTTTTCCTCCTGCCCCCTGCCCCTCCAGTGCCAGTTCCAATGTTTTAATACTGCAGTCAGCTATGCAATTGGCCATGTGGGAACTAGCTACCTTAACCTTCATTCCATCGGCCATTCTAAATTTTTACCATTTATTTATTTTATTTATTTATGAAATTTTTGCTACATAGTGTGTGTGCTGACTAGTGAGACACATACAGAGAGAACTCAAATAGAGCTTTAAAAAATTCACGAAAAGATATAAACTATATAATTTACCCCTGAACAACTTCAAAACTACTGAAGAAATTCAGAATAGAAATGAAAATTTCTTTAATTTCAGTTCAGTAGTACCTGCCATTTATTTATTAGTTATTGTGGTAGAACTTCCTTATCCTTCAGTGTTTCTCTATTAACTGTGGTATTGTCTTTTACTCGGAGATATATATGTACTGTGTTAAACAACAACATCCTAAATCTATTATTGAAGATATTTAATATAATCAATTATATTTCTATATATTTCCTCTGTAGATGGAACATAGAATTTCTTTTGACAGAACTGTGACTATTATAAAATATATTAACATTGTGTCTTTTTTCTTATTTCTAGAGTAAATGGTAAAAATTGGGACCAGCAGATGGTGTAGTGGTTATGTTTCTGGACTCCCACATAGTTAACTGTGTTAAGACCTGGTCCCAGTGGCTTAAACCTCATGCTGGATGCCTGTGCATGCATGTCCAAGATCCTGAGCGGAAAATGGAGAAGGGATTGCATTGTGGCCATCACCCCGGGGGTTTATTTCTTGCTGTCTCTCTGGCTCTCTGGTGAATTCACATGCCCTTTACCAAAAATCTGTCTTAAAAAAACAAAACAAAGAAACAAAAAGCTTTTAAGTACAAAAAACAAAACAAAACAAAACAAAACAAACAAAAAACCATAAAAGAGTAAATGGTAAAAATTTAGACCAGCCCATGGAATGAAGATTAAGACAACTGGATCCCACATGACCAATTGCTTGTCTTGGTTCCTGGATCCAGCAGCTAGAAAACCACACTAGGCACGTGTGCATGCATAGCTTAAATCCTGAAAGGAGGGAGAAACGGAAGAGGAGGAATTATGTTTTGAACATATCCCATTAGTGGTGATTTTGCACTTCCATCTGTACACCCTAGCAAACACATGATCTGTATACTTAACTTTTTAATAATATTGTTTTTATTTTTTATGATCTGATTCTCTTACTCTATCAGTAAATATTAGTGTTTTTGAGATTTCATACTTTTGTCCCCAATCTTGAATTCTCTTTGAACCTACCAGTTGACCTCAGGTTCACTTTCATTGATTAGAATAGCTTCAGTTATCACCTGAATTTCTGCTGCTTCCTAAATATTTGGCTACTAAAACTTTAAAGACGATGTGCCCAAGATTAATCTGTTTACTGCTTAGTTTGTTTTTTTTTTAAACAATTTTAAGTTTTAGCACCCATATCTATGTCTGCTTATACAGAAAACTTTCAATTAATTTCCTTTTTTGATTCAGTGCCAGACAAATTAGCACCAATTTTTTTCTGCCCTTTTTTTAAATTATTTTTTTTGGTAGGATGAGTTCCCTATTCTGTATTCTTACTTCTCTATGGCCTAACATAGGCAGTCATGTCTCAACCTGGTTTTAACCCTTTCATATCTTTTAAGAGTTTGCAATCTTGGATCGCTGTTAAACTGTAAATCTGGTCGTTTAATATGTCACTTCTTTTGGCCTCTTGTTATTTGTGCTCTGTGCTTTAGTGAATGGGTGGTATTCATCTTTATGTGGATACTATCAGTTTTTTTGAATGCACAACAGCAGTATAAAGATTCCTGTAGACACACTTCAACCTATAAGTAATTAACAGCATGCATTTGAAATACTTTATTGAATTAGGTTAAGTATTTAAATACAAAATCCCTTTGTAATCAGTTTCTTGAACACCTTTATTGTCTTTGTCTTTCATCACAGACGAGGCACACTTACGTAGATATAGTACTATTTCTACTTCCATTAATATTAGGTGTATACTTTCTGCTATCATGGGAAGACTACTATAGTTCCATTTTCATAAGAACATTTACATACTCATACTTAATATCTTTGGCTTGAGGCACAACTTGATAATACAGGAGAAAGAAACAATCTTGTTTCTATGTTTTTGTTAGACTGGCTACCATAAACTTGTATCTAAGTTAGTTAACCTAACACATTACTCCAGGTATGTTTTTATATTTATGTGTTTGTATGATATAAGCCCCTTGACATAGCAGAATGTTATGCTTTCATATGTAGCAGCAAAGACATTTGGAGATGTATAAGGGAAATACTGGTAATATTATTATTAAAGAATAATTTAGCATAGAGCTAGGATGTTTTTACCTTATTTTTCTCCCTTCATAAAGAGTTTAAAAAACAGAAAACATCAACATAAAGAGAAAGTAAATTCGCCATATTTTCTATTTCCCAGGGCTGATGAGGGAAAATGCATTTTTACAGGGGTTCGTGTCATTCGAGGATGTTGCTGTGGACTTTACCTGGGAGGAGTGGCAGGATCTGGAAGATGCGCAGAAGACCTTATACAAGGATGTGATGCTAGAGACCTATAGCAACTTGGTGTTTTTAGGTTAGTGGAACTCCCATGTAGCCCCCTAAAGTAATTACTGTCTCCTTTCATAGTATACATACAAGAGTTTCATAATGTTTAACACTATTTAGGAGTGAGATTTTATCCTATGGTTAATATGAGGAACCCTCCTCTTTAACTGAATGTCCAAGTCAATCCCTTTATTGCACAGCTGATAAAGCTGAACTGTTGTTACCCTTCAGATTGCTTATATGAATAGTTTGGCAAAATTCCATACTGCTTTTCATTAACAGGACACTGCATTGCCAAACCTGCAGTGATCTTCAAGTTGGAGCAAGGAAAAGAGCCATGGACATTAGAAGAACTTCCCAACCAGCGCCTCTCAGGTTAGCCATACTAGTCAGGGACCAGTGTAATGTATTTTCTTTTAAAGAGCTCATATTTTATTGAGAGGAAAACAAAATGAATGTCAGTAGTGGTGAGATATAAAATGTAGAAAATATTTTACTGGGATAAAAGTTGGAAAAAATGAGGTCTGTTATTTTTGAAAGAGTCTTAAGGGAAAGGCATGTTCAGGGCAATTAATATTATTGGATACAAATCCTTTCTAAGTAACGTTTCTCCTTAAGTGGCAGGAGTTATTTTGCTTTCTGCAAATAGGTGATCTACAAAATTGTTCACATTAGCAAAGAAGCAGTACAAAATACCCACCATTATAAGAAAAAAGAGAAAAAGGACAGAAAAAAAAAATGACAGATGGAAAAATCTCAGTGTAAAATTCCAGCAAGATAGTAGGTAGATATGTTGAATATTTTTAAAGGTTTTAAAGTAGAGGGAAACAAAGGAGCAAAATAAAACCACTTAAGATTCAAAAATATTAATGTAAATTGTTACAGTAACTTATTAAGGAGAAATAACCATATTTCTTATTATAGATCAATACCATTACTTGAAATATACATAAGCAGCGTAGAAGAAATTCTTAGATATACTTTATGGAAATGGTTGATTTTTTCCTGACCAAAGAGGATTGATGTTGGAGAGACTGCTTATAAATAGAATGAATATGTAAAAACATGTGGTAAGACTAATTTCCCGATATATAGGTGTGGAAGAAAGCAGTTTTCAACTGCCTCATTCATCAGAAATACAGGAGATGCACACTATAAATGTAGAAAATGTGAGAAATTATTTTTAAAAATCACTTTTACAGTACATTTTAAACACATAGAATGTAAGTTTCTTGTTCATATAAAGATTAACATAAATCCTTTTGCAGAAGTAAATCTTTCTTTTCATCAGAGAATCCACACAAGGGAAACACCCTATGAAAACATCAAAAATCCTTTTTCCAGGGGTCAAAATTATGGTATACCAGGGAAATCACAGAGAATAAGCCCTTATGAATTTATCAAATTATGGAAGCTTTCTCCTGGAAGTCAACTCTTGTTATACTTAAGAGAACTCTTAGAGAGAAAATCTATAAATATAAATAATATAGAAATTTCTTGTGTCTGAATATACTCCTTACTGACCATCTGAAAACTTACACAGGAGAGAAACCTTATGAATGTAAACAATGTAAGAAAACGTTTTCCCAGAATTCAGACCACACTGTTCATCAGAGGACTCACACAGGAGAGAAACTCTATGAAAATAAACTATGTGGGAAAATGTTCTACAAGAAGGCACACTTCACTGTGCATCAGACAGCTCACACTGGAGAGAAATCCTATGAGTGTGGAGAATGTAGAAAATCTTTCAGTCATAAGTCAGACTTCAACAGACATTGGAAAACCCACACAGGAGAGAAACCTCATGCATGTGAACAATGTGGGAAAACATTCTCCCAGAAATCTCACCTCATTGTACACTGGAGAACTCACACAGGAGAGAAACCCTATGAATGTGAACATTGTACGAAAATGTTCTCCCGAAAATCAGCACTCACTGTGCATCAAAGAACTCACACAGGAGAGAAACTCTATGAATGTGAACAGTGTAGGAAAATGTTTCCCCAGAAGTCATCACTCACTGTACATCAGAGAACTCACACAGGAGAGAAACCCTATGAATGTGAGCAATGTAATAAAGTGTTCTCCCGGAAGTCACATCTCACTGTACACTGGAGAACACACACAGGAGAAAAACCTTATGAATGTGAACATTGTAGGAAAATGTTCCCTCAAAAGTCAACACTCGCTGTGCACCGGAGAACTCACACAGGAGAGAAGCCCTATGAATGTGAACAATGTAGGAAAATGTTCCCCCAGAAGTCATTACTTACTGTTCATCAGAGAACTCACACAGGAGAGAAACCTCATGAATGTGAACTATGTGGAAAAACCTTCTCCTGGAAGTCACACCTCAGTGTACATAAGAGAATTCACACAGGAGAGAAGCCCTATGAATGTGAACAATGTAGGAAAATGTTCTCCCGTAAGTCAGCACTCATTGTACATTGGAGAAGTCACTTAGGAGAGAAGTCACATGAATGTGAACAATGTAGGAAAACATTTTCCAACAAGGGATACCTCACTGTACATCAGAGAATTCACACAGGAGACCTTCCCTATGAATGTCAACAATGTGGGAAAGCATTCTCCTGGAAGTCACAACTCACTGCACATCAGAGGACTCACACAGGAGAGAAGCCTTATGAGTGTGAACATTGTAGGAAAACATTCTCCCGGAAGTCAGCACTCACTGTACATCAAAAAACACACATAGGAGTTAAACCCTATGAATGTCAACAGTGTTGGAAAATACTCTCTAGCAAGTCAGCACTTGCTGTGCATTGGAGAACTCACACAGGAGAGAAACCCTATGAATGTGAACAGTGTAGGAAAACGTTCTCCCGGAAGTCACACCTCACTGTACATCAGAGAACTCACACAGGAGAGAAACCCTATGGTTGTGAAAAATGTAGTAAAATGTTCTCCCGAAAGTCACACCTTGCTGTACATCTGAGAACTCATACTGGATTGAAACATTATGCCAACAGTATAGGGAACATTTTACTGGAAGACAGGACTCATTGTATGTCAGAGCACTCACACAGAAGGGAAACCTTTTGAATGTGAAAAATATAGGAAGTTTTTGTCTTGTAAACTGTATTTTAGTAAGCATCTGAAAACATACACAGGGGAGAAACTTTATGAATATAGGGAGGATAGAATGTCTTTTATTCCTAAGTCAGTCCTCAGTATACATCAGAGAATTCACAGGAGAGTAATCCTGTGAATGTAAGTATATCAATAGAAGATGTTCCATTTAATATAAGTCAGCCCTTTTTGCACATCAGAGAACACAGGGATAAGTCCTATAAATACGAATGGTATAGAAAAATATTTACTATACCATATTAGATTACTCACAGAGAAGAGGAACCTTGTAAGTCTGGGAATTGTCATAAAACCTTCTGCAAGAAGCCACAACACAGTAAGATCAGGAATCTTATGAATGTGAAAAATAAATCTTTTTATTCTAGAATTCAAAGCTCACCATACATAAGTAGACTCAAATGGGAGAAACTCCTCAGTAATGTAAACTGCCCTAAATCCTTGAACCACAATTGAGAAATATGAAGTGATTTCTGAAGGTAACAGCATTGAACTTTTTAAGGTTCAGCAAGCCACAGTAGTTAAAATTAAGGATATCAGAATATTTGGGGATGAATAAGGCGTAAAACTTTTCCAGCTCCAGAAGCAAAATGCTTCTTTTGCAAAAGTTTATTTATTTTTTCTTTATTTAATTTTATTTATTGTTATATTTAAATTTGACCAGAGAGAGAGACTGAGACAGAGATAGAGAGAGAAAGGGAAAATGAAAAATAAGTTGCCAGGTGGCAGGACTTTAACCTTTGTCTGCCATGTGGTAGTTTCAGTGTCTGAACAACCACACCACCTGCTGGCCCCCGCAAGTTGATTTCTAAGACACATATGTGATGTTTAAAGATGCAACAAAATATAATCATTGACTTGGGCAAAAATAAAAATAAATATAGAAATTTCCCTAGCTTCCAATTCTGACCATGGTATGCAAGACAACAGGAAAAGTGTTTTTAGGCTCCAAGATTGTCTTAAGTTCTCTCAGAGCCTGGAAACCACCCATATGTACTGAGAGGGCCCTCTAAGAGTGCCTCTGGGAAAATGTCTAAGTTCATTTTGAGAATAGAACTAGCCTCTGTAGAGGCTAGATCTCTGATGTATAATAAGGCATACAAAGGTTGTGTATGTTGGGGGGCAACAGTGATTGGTGGTTATAGAATTTCCAAGACTCTTTGAATTTTGGTCATAGCCTTTGTGAGCAGCATTAACACCTTCTATTTCAGAAATGCAGCCCCTGGTAAATTGGTTTTAGGCTGCTTTTGGTTTGTCCAACATCACCAGATAGCCCAGGTAGGCAAGACCAAGCCATAGTGGGTGAAATGTAAGGTTGCTAGTCAGTAGTGACAGGAAATGGCTGGTAGAAATCACTATTAGCTAGAATGTGAAAAATGAGATGACTAAACTTACTGTTCATATTCAAATTGTCTAACAAGCATTACTGCTATCTGTATGACTCTTTCCATCCTGTGAAACTGACTGGGTTTGATTGCACAGTGATGTGAATATACTGAACAGAACTAAACTGCATATACTTAGACATAGTTAAAATATGTCAAAGTTTTGACTTGATCAAACTTTAGTCAGGCCTCTCAATCTTTTAGTTTCCTCTGTGTGCTTCCTTATAAAATCCCCTTTGAGTAAAGAACCTTGCTAAGGCAGTTTAGCAAGAAGCCCCACAGTAAATATCAGATCATTTTAAATAAATGTTTAGGTTTCTTATCCTTCACTACACCACAAATGATCTGATCACCCTGTCTGCCTTCAACAAGAATCCTGTTATTTCATTTATCCAGAATCATATCCTTGATGATTCCTTAGTAATGTTCCATCTGCTAATCCGCACACTGCTCTTTGGCTGTTAATTTCCACTGCCTAGGCTGTATTTGAAGTTGAGCCCATTTTCTCTTTTCCACTGCAAACTCCCTTGCAGTGAACTGTGAGCTTACCATGGTGTTCCAAAATAAAGTTTTTCTTACCTTGCTTTAACAAGTGTCATTGAATCAGTTTTTTTTTTTTTTTTAATGGGAGATTTTGTGGGACTTTTTTTCCACAGTGAAACTGGTCATGGGATGTTCAAAGTGGTAATAATAGGTACACAAGAAATAATGGTGGAAGCCAGAGGCTGGGCCAGGTGGGAGCATTGGAAAGATTTGACATTATTGTATAATAATAGTTGTAGATTATTCAATTTCATAAGATGAAAGGAGTCATGAAGATGGATGATGGTGATTGGCCTAGAACCTTTTGAGGAAAAATGGTATGTTTTATGTGACATTTATCTTACCAAAATAAACTTAAAATGGTAAATATACCAGTATATAGAGATATATAATCTATGGTGGTTGTTGAACTGATAAATATGTAGTGGCAAAATAACTAGTGGGAACCAGCAGTTAGCGTAATGGCTATGTCGCTGGACTCCCATGTAGTCGACCACGGTTCGCGTCCCAGACCCGGTGGCTTAAAAACTCACACCGGGCGTGTGTGCGTGCGTGCCCAAAATCCCGAGAGGAGAATGGAGGAGAAGAGATTGCGGCATGACCATCCCCCCTGGGGGGTAATTTCTCACTTTCTGTCTCTATGTCTCTCTCTGTCTGGCGAGCGCACGTGCCCTACAGTGAAAATCTCTCAAAAAAAAAAAAACTAGTAACGTTATTCCAATAACAGCTTAATACTTGAATCAATTATGGCCCATCTATGCCTAAGTAGAAAAAAATGCTAATGCCTTAGTATTGGCAAAATGTTACCAGAATAAGAGTATTCCTACAAAGAGAGCATTTGTCTCAGACAGTGACTCTTGTCTTTTTGCCATTGTCCCTTATCTTCAGCCACACCCTCTTCTCAGGGTACACTTTGATCTGATAGACTCCCTCTCCCAATTTTGTTAACTTTTTTAAAAAAGAATTATTTTTTTCTTTCTGTCCTTCTGTCTGTCTTTTCTTTCTTTCCTTCTCTTTCTTTCTCTATTTTTCTTTCCTTCTGCCCTCCCTCCCTCCCTCTCTCTCTCTTTCTCTCTCTCTCTCTTTTCCATTCCTTTCCTTTCTTTTCCTTTCCTTTCCTTTCCTTTCCTTTCCTTTCCTTTCCTTTCCTTTCCTTTCCTCCTTCCTTCTCTCTCTTTTTCTTTTTCTCTTTCTTTCTTCTCTCTCTTTCTCTCTCTCTCTTTTTTTCTTTCTTTCTTATTTGATGAGAGACAGCAGAGAGGTAAAGTGAGAAAGCAATCCGCCAGGTCTGGGACTCAAACTGAGGTTGGCAATCTGGGAGTCCAGTGCCCTCAACTGCCATGCCACCTGCTGACCCTCACTTTTAAAAAGCAATCTAAGAAAAGCTCATAATGAGAGTGAAGTGGGACGGTGCTGCCAGAACAAATTTTATCCCAACATATTTGCCATCCTGACACCTTTCCTAAGAGTCCAAATCATGATTCACTGGTGCAAAATTCTTATTGAACTAGGCACCCTAGCATGTACCTTAGAAGAAAACTTAAGCATGTTTCATTTGTAACCAAAATCCTTTTAGTTTTAAAATTGTAAAGGTGCATAAATGTGCTATTTATACCGAGAAGTTAAGACACTTGGCTCTCCCTGTCCTGAAAAGGTGTCCCTAGGAACTGAAAACCATTCAGGATAGTCTGAGGTTTCATGATGTGAAGCAGGTTTTTTTTAAATTTATTTAAAAAATTATTTTAATTTCTTTTATACACTTAATATACATTAGATAACTTGTATCGTGAATTTTCCTTACATGAGCACACTTTACAACAGTCCATTTGAGGATAATATACATGTTGTCATCAACAGATAATAATCTATTTCTTTGTCCTATATATGTCTTGCCTCTCCATTTTCCCCCTTAATGTCTTTCCTCACACTGTCCCCCTTCTCTCGCCCTCTTTACACACTGTATCCAGTATCGATAACTTTATCATCAACAGATAATAACCCACTTCTTTGTCCAATAAGTGTCCTGCCTCTCTATTTTCATCTTTTATTTCTTTCCTTATACTCTTCACTTTCTCTACCCTTCTCTCATATTGTCTCCAAAATCTATAATAACCATTTTCAGTGGTTCTATTTTCTACAGTCTCTCAGTTTCCACCAAAGAGTGCAGACAGTCATTATATGTTAAGTGCAGACATACAGTGTCTCATAACCTGGCTTACTTCACTCAGCAGAAAATTGTTTATATTCATCCACTTTCCATCACATACCATGGTCTTGTTGTTTTTGGTGGCTGAGTAGTATTCCATAGAGTATATGTGCCACACTTTTCCAATCCATTCATCTGTTCGTGGATATTTGAGTTGGTTCCATCTCTTAACAGTTGTGAATAATGCTGCAATAAACATTGCTGTGCATACACTTTTCCAACTGAGTGTTCTATCCTTTAGGTTGATACCTAGGAGTAGAACTGTTAGATTGTATAGTAATTCTTTTTGTAGGTCTTTATTATTTATTTATTTATTTATTTATTTGTTTGTTTGTGTGATTTGTAGGTCTGTGAGGAACCTGCATATCATTCTCCACAGTGGGTGGAGCAATTTACCTTCCCACCAGCAGTGTAGGAGAGTTTCCCTTTCAAACGTCCCCACCAGCACTTATCATTTTTTGTATTTTTAATCTTTGACATTCTGACTGGAGTTAGATGGTATATCATAGTGTTTTGATGTGCATCTCCCTTATGATGAGGGATGTTAAGAATTCTTTCTTGTGCTTTTTGGCTGTTTATAGTATTTATCCATTTCATTGTGAATTTGGTTTATCTGGTTCCTTTCTCTCTCCTTCTTAAGTCTTCTAGCTAATGGTATGTGTATTTTGTCTTTTCATGGAACCAGCTTTTGCTTTCATTTATTTTTTTGCATAGTTTATTTTCTATTTCATTTATTTTTGTGTGTATCTCTATTTCTTTTCTACTGAGAGTTTTTGCACATTTTTTTTCCAATTCCCTGAAGTGTGATAATTAGGTTGTCCATTTGACACCTTTACATCTTTTCCTTTTTTTCCTTTTTTTATTTTTGGAAAGGTTTTTGCTATAGGGCAAGTGTGCTCATCAGACAGAGAGAAACAGACAGCAAGAAATCACCCCCTGGAGGGGTGTAGCCGTGTCACAATCCCTTCTCCTCCACTCTTCTCTCAGGATCTTGGACACTCATGCACATGCACTCGGCATGAGTTCAAGCCAATGGGTTCAGGACTTGAACCGCAGTCAACTATATGGGAGTCCAGTGCCACAGGCATTATGCCAACTGCTGGTCCCATTGGTATCTTGTCTTTGTCTGTGGCTTTGGCCAGTCTGGCTATGATGTGCAGTGGAGAGGATCTTCTTTTCTTTTTTCTGTTTTTGTTTTTTTGTTTTTGTTTTTGTATTTCTTGGGTCTGGAAGTATGAGTGCTTCACTAGACTGAGAAAGTTTTCTAGGATTTTGTGGAATAGATTATTCATTCCCTTATTAGTTTCTCCAGTTTTTGGGATACCAATTATTTGGCTGTTTGGGTGTTTAATGTTTAGTATTTCTCATATATTGTCCTTATTTTTTCTGTCCTTTTGATGATTATTTTTCTTGGTCAGAGGTTTTGTCTTCTACATGCAAGATTTGGTCATCTTCATTGTCTAGTCAGCTTTTAATACTTGAGAGAGATTTCAATTTTCTGTATTACAGTCTGCATCCTTAAGAGTTCTATTTGATTGTTTTTTATGGTATCCACTTCTTTCAAATGGTGGAAGGACTTCCTCATCTCCTGTTGTTTGTTTTCTCTCTTGTCTTCCATCTCAGAGTTTTATCACCATGAATGATCTGAATTCTTTTTCTGACCTTTTGGTAACTTCTTTTCTTTCAAAATTTGGAGGTGAGTTACTGTGTTCTCTTGATTGTGACATAGTTCCTGGTTTTCTTATACTTGAGACTTTTCTCTGACTTACAGTCATTTGGTACTTTTTTTTTTTTTGAGAGGTTTTTCACTATAGGGTGCGTGCGCTTGCCAGACAGACAGAGAGAGACACCCGACAGTCATTTGGTACTGTTGGATAACTCTTTGGAGAATGTTTCTGCTCATTTGCTTCCCTTTTGCTGTGATTTGCTTCTGTGCCAATTTCTTCTGCTGTGGCTAACAATATTTTCCCACAATAGCAATTTTCTGTTCAGGTTTCTGTAGAGGGATTTGTCCCTTTCTGCTCATGGTTCAGTAGGGTGTAAAGATTCCTCTAAGTCTTGCATTGTTTAGATGTTTGAAAACTATAAATCTAGACTTTTCTAGTCCCTCTGCAGGATGGAGGCTGAGCATAGAATGACAATGTAAGGTGGAAGAAACAAAACATGAAAGAGGAACAAAGAAGAAGTCATGCATTCCCCAGAGGGCTTAAGAAGTCTGAGAAGCTTGCAACCCCAATGTCCTGAGTGAGCGGAAGAGAGAAGTAAAGAATTAGCAAATCAAAGGAGGAAAAAAGAAAACCTTGTACCTTATTAGCTCTGAGAAGGGAGTTGGGCCCTCAAGTTCGGAGCTATAGCTGTTGCTGGGGCTGCAGCTGAAATTCAGACCTGCCTCAAATTCTCTGACTGTATTTGGGGCTTCAGATGGAAATGGAGTCTAATTGAGAAGCCTGCAACTTACCTGTCCTTTCTTGGTCTAAGAACAGGGATGGGGTCTAAAGTATGGAGCTGTGGCTGGGGCTGGGGCTGAAATTCAGCCCTGCCTCAGATTCTCTGACTGGGCAGGGGTTTCAGATGCAGATGGAGACTACTTGTGAAGCAGTCTTATAGAAACTCTCTCATATATTGTCCTTATTTTTTCTGTCCTTTTGATGATTATTTTTCTTGGTCAGAGGTTTTGTCTTCTACATGCAAGATTTGGTCATCTTCATTGTCTAGTCAGCTTTTAATACTTGAGAGAGATTTCAATTTTCTGTATTACAGTCTGCATCCTTAAGAGTTCTATTTGATTGTTTTTTATGGTATCCACTTCTTTCAAATGGTGGAAG